GGCAGAGCAAAGAGAGACAGGACAGGAGGTGAGAAATGCCAGCAAGGTCCCCTGTGCTGCCTGGGAAGGGCAGCCTGGGAGGTGACCCCGAGGTGCTTTTCTCCAGCCAGGAGAGAGTCAGAGAATGCAGCAGGAACAGAGCCACGGCTCCGCTCCGTGCCAGGGACACGCTGCCCCTTCCAGCCCACTCCTGGGGTGGCACATCCTGACACTGCCCTCGGGGGAGCTGCCCCCTCCCTTCCCATGGGAGCAGAGTTGTGCTTTCGCTCTCCTGATGCATCTCTGCTCTCTCTGGATTCAGGCCCAGCCAGGCTGGGGGCACAGCACAGCCACCCCCACAGCCCCTGGGGACACCCAGCCACCTGAGACTCGCCAGGAGAACCCCACATTTACAGCAGCACCCCATGGACAAGAAAAATAACTTTTCTCTAAGGAAATTGGATTCTCACGGGAGACAAAACCTTTACAAAATCATGAGATGTGCAGGGAGGAGTTTTTCTGAGCCACGTGCTGAGGGTGAAAGGCTCATCTGAGCTCTCCTGCAGGCAGCTGCCCACAGCTCCCACTGGCAGCAGCACTGCCAGGATCTGGGCTGTGCCACTGAAGTCATTGCCCAAATATTTAGGCCATGGAGAGCTGTCCCCGTCCCATGTCACACAGAGACAGCCACAGGACACAGGGCTGCAGCAGGGACAGAGCATCCCACGTTTCCATCAGCTGAAAGTGAAAAGCAAGTTTAAAGTTCAGCCAGGTTTAACATTGTTAATTAAACCTTGTCCTCTTTCCCAAGAGAAAAGATTTTAAGGAAACCCTTCAGCAGTTCTAAAGGACAAGACCACGATCTGATCTTACATTTCTTGTGGCCAATCAGCTCAAACTTCCCTTGTTTCTGTTTTCCTTCCCTTTTCTTTTTCAAAGTTAACTCGGCAGATTAACATCTCTCTGTGACACCCTTTCCAGGAATTAAAGTGTAGAATCACAGAACGATTTGGGCTGGAAGGAACCTTAAAGCTCATTTTGTTGCCATGGGCAGGGACATTTTCCATTATCCCAGGTGGATTCAAGCCCTGTCCAAGTGTCCCTTGGGCCACAGCTTCTCTGCGCACCCTGTGCCAGGGCCTGCCCACCCTCCGAGGGAACAATTCCTTCCCAAAATCCCAGTAACCCTGCTCCCTCACAGATCAAACCCAGAGCTGAGCCTGGATCACCTGAGCCACCCACGAGTGGCACAGGCTGGGCTGATGAGCAGAGCGCTCTGCGGTGCCAGGGCCACCCTGGTGACCACAAAGAGCCCCTGCAGGCTCTTTGCTCTGCACAACCCAACAACCAGCCTCTCACCACCCCCTGTCAAAGCCCGTACAGCACCCATGGCAGCACAGCACAGCAGATCGCCAAAATTCGCCTTTTTGAGCGTGCCTGGGAGAGGAAAGGAGGACAAGGCACAGCAGAGGCGCTGCTGGCTGGCTGTGCCCCGGGGCGGGATGGAGCTGCGTGAGGGCGATTTGGAGGGATGAAGTGAAGAACCCCCTCGGGCAGCCTGTCCCCACCCTGCCTTATCGCAGCCACTGTCCCCATCAGCAGCGCTGGGCAGGGCAGATAGCGCCGCACAAGAGGCAAGGAGCAGCAAAACAATCCCAGGAGAGAGGCAGGAGGCTCTGCCAGAGGAGCCCCTGCCAGCCAGAGCTCTCCATGCCCAATGGGCATCCCTTGCCGGGGGCTTCCCTGCGAGGGTGAAGCAGGGAGTGCTCGGTTTGCAGGGATGAGAGGGGATGCAGGGGCTCCGGCACTGCTGGTTTCACCCTGAGCATCTTCCTGAGAGCCCACTGCCACCTGTGCCTCCAAACAATGCCAGCTCTGAAGTGGCAGAACACATCCTCTGGGTTTATCTTAGGTGTCTTTCCAGGAAAATAACTCTGCTTTTCTTTTTTCTTTTCTTTTCTGAAGTGGCAACACAGATCCTCTGGGATTGTAAGTGGTATCTTAGATGTTTTTCCAGGAGAACAACTCTGCTTTTTTCTTTTCTGACATGGCAGCACAGATCCTCTGGGTTTACGGGTGGTATCTTAGATGTTTTTCCAGGAAAGTAACTCTGCTTTTCTCCTAAGGCAGCTTGGGAAGGGTCTGAGTCAGGAACTTTCACAAGTTCCCAACCCTGGGTGGGCTGGAGCCTTCCCAGGCTGGCACCCACTGACCACAGCTCCCAACTGCTGGGTTTGGGATCATCCACTTAACGAGCTTTGGATGGGGTGGTGACAAAGCTTGGTCACCTGTGGGTGCCACCATGTCCTCAGTGGACCTCTGGCCTTGCCAAGACCACAGCATTCACGGAATAAGAGCTAGAAAGAAACATTTCCTCCCCACCCCCTCCTACTTTTCAGCTTCATTGCCCTCTGTTCAACTGGTTCCTCATGCAGCCAGATCCTCTTTTGCTGCAAAAAGACTTTCTATAAAAACAGGGAAATCCCAGTCCCTGTTCCTGCTAGCCGCAGGTTTTTTTAGGTTTGCTGTGTAGGATCCAGACTCCACTATAAATTTAATTATTTTTTAATTAATATGTATTTAAATGAAGCCTGTCCTACTTTTGGGAACACTGTGAGAAGCCAGTTCAGCTTTGCTGAGCCCAGGACACAGCTCCAGACAGGATCCCACAGGGCAGGAATACCCCAAACCCCTGAGCCATCCTTCCTCCTTCACACCCAGCCTCACAAAACCAAATCCCACTAAACCCAGCCCATTTTTCCATCTTTCCACACCTCACTTTCTGCCAGGTCTGACTGCCCAGAGAACAAAGCCCTGCTCAGACCTTTCCAAGGGGACACAACAGATGGCACACGGGGCAGGATGCAGGCACAGGATTCCGTCACCTCCCCACGCTTCCGGGCGTGGAAAAGGGGCGGAAAACGGGCAGGAACTCCACTCCAACATCCTGAAAACCCTGCAGACACTCAGCCTCGCTCCAAGCAGTGCCTTTAGTGAGAAAATCAAATTGAATTTAGGGTCAAGAGAATGATTCAAGGTGTTCAGTGGATTTTGGGTGCCTCTGTTCTCTTGGAGCACAGGTGGGTTATTCAGCTGCTGGGTTTTTGGTGGGTTGCTCTGCAGTTTTTGGTGGGTTATTCTGCAGTTTTTGGTGGGTTATTCAGCTGATTTTTTTGGCAGCTGAGCAGCACAAGAGGGCAAACCCCTTCTTTGACATCCCACCTTACACTCGTCTGCACCCATAGATATAAAAAAGCAAAAGGAGACAACAAAAGAACTTTAGGTAAAGGAAAATTGTTTCTCTGGTTATTAATCCTAAAATAAGGATTAATAAGGATTATTAATCCTTGTAAAACAAGGATTTATTATCCTAAAATAAGGATTTACAGCACAGCACCCCCAAATAATTCGGGGTTCCTAAATGAACAAAGTCTTGGATGAGAATTCAAAATCCAGCCATGACCTTTTGCCAGATGGAATGGAGAACAGGTGGAGAAGAGATCAAAGCAATGGAGAAGTGAAATGTTGCTAAATACAACAAAGTAGCCCTTTGATTTCTGGCAGGATGTTAAACCTCACCCTGCCTAACAGGGTTAAAACTCCACAAAAGCAAAAATTTGCCTGAACATTCAAGTTCCAGGAGTGAAATTCTAGTTGTAAACACACGGTGTCCACTGGATGTTTTCATTCTCATTTGGGTCAAAATAGGGATGAAAGGAGCTGGAGATGAGCTGTTATTGCCTGACAGGCTGACATTCTTTACCTACAGTCATAAAGTTCCTCTGACAATGGTTTTCTTGGGAGGCTGGGGTTAATAACTGAGGCATTCAGCTACAATAACAGGCTAAAAACCAAACAAGCCACCTCTGAAGTAGCTTTATTCTCAAAGTCACCTACTTTGGGTACATTATACATGTTTAAGATAGAAAGCATTTAAATAATTATTTAAGTTTTCCTTTCTCTCAGAGGCCACTGAAGCTATTTTACACTGTTTACCTGGTTCCTGTCACTGTTTGAGAAACTTGAGCAAATAAAAGCAAGGAATCATCCAGGAGTGAGTGTTGCTACACACAAATGTGTCTCCCAGAGCAGAATGGCAACAGAGCTCTACTGATGCTGCTTTCAGAAGGATAAACGGAGAAGGGATTTAAATATCATTTTCAGGAACTGTGTTTAATTAGAAGATAGGATCCTTCACTAAAAAGTTTCACTCAATGGGTATTTAGCCCTCAGTTTTTTAGAGTATCTGTCAAATAGCGTGACAGAGATGAGGAGTAAACACCAAATCCCCCTGTCCTGACCCGCAGTCACCCGCCTCCCTTCCTGCCCTATTTATTTCTCTTTTTTTTTTCAAAGGCAATACTCCTCAGCTGATCTAACGAGGCCATCAAGCCCCAGCTGCCCGAGAGGCAATTGCCACCCCCATTCCAAGCGGCGCCTGTCACACAGGTGTGTCCAGGGTCCCCGGGCTGCTCCCGGCTCAGCCCTGCCAGGACACGGGACACTTCCGAGCAGGGACAGCGGGAACGCCGCTGCTCCGGAGGGCAAAGTCCGGGGAATCTTTGCTCCTTGAAACCCCCGTCCCTAAAGCCCGAGGTTAAACATTCACAGCGCTGGACCCGGCTCCTCTTGGCCCTCCCGAGTTTTCTGCCGGCAGCAACGGCGGGGATACAAATCCCCTGTCACCCGCGGAGACTGAGAGAACTTGGAGACAGCCCTGGAAGCGCCGACTTCCAAGAAACCTCCCTCCATTCATTGCACCGGCGGGCTTGGCAGGGAGCGACCGGGTCTGCTCGCGAAAGCATCGCTCTGAAAACGGGCGATTCAGCAAGAAAGAAGAAAAGCAGGAAGCTTTCCCGCTCCTCTCCCCTTCCCGGAGCGCTGCACCCCCAACCCAGCCGTGCCCGCCCGGCTCCTCCCGGCTAACGGGATGCGGAGCCGGCCGCGCTGTGCCGGGCCAGCGGAGCCGCTCCGAGCCCGGCCCGGCACCGCCGCTGCTCCCGGACCCCCCGAGCACGCACCTTGTAGACTTTGCCGAAGGCTCCATCTCCCAGCTCGCCCACCACCTCCCACACCTCGCCGGGGTCCAGGTCGCGGCGGACGTGCTCGTATTCCTTGGAGCGGCGCTTCTCGAAGGCGGAGAGGCGCAGGATGCGGCGGAAATTGGCGAAAGCCATCCCGGAGCGCGGCCCCGGGAGCTGCGGAGCCGCCGCCCGCTCCGGCCCCGGGAGGACGGAGCCGCTGCGCGCCCGGGGAGCGGCGAGGCGGGACCGGCACCGGGGCCGCCTCCAGCCGCGCACATGGAGCCGGAGCCGCTCCACCTGCTGGGCTGGGCTGGGCTGCCCGGGACGGAGCCATTGGCCGCCCGAGCCCTCCGCCCGCCCGGCCGGCACCGCCCCGCACGGCCCGGCTCGGTCCGGGTAGGGCACAGACAGGGCACGGTCTGGGCACGGCACAGCCCGCACGGCTCGGCTCGGTCCGGATATGGCACGGCCCGGCTCGGTCCGGGATGGCACGGCACAGACAGGGCACGGTCCGGGCACGGCACCGCCCGTACGGCTCGGCTCGGTCCGGGTAAGGCACAGACAGGGCACGGTCCGGGCACGGCGCCGCCCCGCACGGCTCGGCCCGGGTAGGGCACAGACAGGGCACGGCCCGCCCAGATTGTCACGGCTCATCCCGGGCACGGTTCAGCCTGGGCACGGCTCTGCCCTGGCCCGGCACTGCCCAGCCGGGTCAAGGTCCGCCCTGACCGGCACGGCTCAGCCCGGGTACGCTCTGCCCAGTCGTCGTGGCACGGTTCAGCCTGGGCACGGGCCCCGTTCTGCCCGTCCCGGTGCATCGCGGCACGGCCCAGCCCGGCTCGGTTCGGCCCCGCCGCGGAGCCAGCCGGAGGATCGCAATCCCGAGCCGAGGAAAGCAAACCCCGGCGGGCCGGGCAGGGAAGGAGCGATGTCCCCGCTCGGCCCGCGGCATCCCCGGGGCTGCGTCCGACCCCGCACGGAAAACCCGAATCCCGGCCGCAGAGCCGCGATCCCGCTGCACCCGCTCCGCCTCCCGGGAAAACAGACGGACCCAGCGGATTCCAGCCTCCGGGAATTGCGGGGAACCCTCCCCGGGTCTGCTTCGGACATGGGACCCGGCCGGTCCGGGGGGAAGTTCGCATCCTCGCCACGGTGGAGCTCAAAGCCTCGGGAAAGGCGGCTGGCAATCCCGTTGGAATGGGGACATCTAGGGGACCCCCCCGGCGGTGCAGCGCGGAGCCGTCGGGCCGGCCCCGCACGGACCCGCACCGCGCGGGTTTTGCCCCAAATCCGCCCCCAGCGCGCAGCCCGGGGCGCAGGAACAGGGTGGATTCTCACGCTCCATCCTGAAGGATAATTGGTGCAGAACTCAGCACAGGCTCCGTCGTTCAGAACATCTGATGTTAGCGATGCCGCATGAGTTCCCTGACACATCATTCCTTAAAACTGATTGTCATCTTTCCCCATCCTCGGTGTTAAAAAACCGCCAAAACCTGGCGAGTATTTCCAGCTCCCGGATGTTGATTGAAAGAATCACCTGAGCAGTAAAAGCTCCTGAAAACGAGGTTGGCATTAAAGCTCTCAAATGCTCTGTGTGATGTTTAGGGAAGGGACACACAGACCCTGCATCACCTGGGATTTAAAACCAGGGATCAGTGACACTACAAATATTGCACTTCAGATGTTCCAACAACAGCAGCACTCTGTAATATTAATTAGCCACCAGGTTGGTTAATTCAGGGCTTGGCAATTCCCCAGAAAGCTTTCAGACACAGCCCTGTGTCCTCCCTCCCTGCTGCTCTGGGAGGTGACAATGGCCTGGCTGCTCCCCAGGGCTGTGAGGCTCAGGGGAGCTGGCAGAGCCACCAAGATCCATTCCAGCTCTGCCTGAGGATCCTCCTTCCCCCCTGCATTGCCTCCTCCCCTGTTCGTGAGACAGACAAAGCTCCAGCCCTGACTGGATTGATGTCATTCCTGTCCCCTGTGTCCCCTTCCTGCACCCTGTGAAGCCCCCAGGCCAGGCTGTCCAAACACAATAACCAGGTCCTGGCACAGGGAGCACAAAATCCACGTAGGAAAACCCCAGCCAGCACTGCAGGAATCCTTCCAGCTGTGCCAGATGCCAGGGGCACGGGGTAAGAGGGCATTTGTGCCTCACTGGAGCTCATTCCCGAGTGCTGCACATGTCATCCTTTCCCAAACCCAGCCATGCTCCACAGTGCATTTTTTTGGTTTCTTGCCAAAAGTCCTCCACATGAGGCTTTTTGCAACCCCTCACCCACTGGTTCGGTGCTTCCCCACCTCATGCTGCAGTTCTTCAATATATTTGAAGATATTTTCAAGGTGTTTCAGCCCAAATGATCCCAGTTCCCAGAGGTTTCCCCCACTGGCAGAGATTTAAGGGTGGCAGAATCAGCCCAAGCTGCAGATTTGATTTTAGCACGGGCAGTTTTTGTCCTGCGTGTTCACACTTGGGGGAGTTTGATTGAAATTCTGGAGCTGGTTTGGTTCTTCCTCTGCGCTGCCCTGGAGGAGATTAAAGAGGACTGAAAAGAATTGTTAAAAGTGACACCTTCAAAAGAAAAATGTGGGGTTTTTTCGAGTGTTTCTGGTTTGTTGGAAAAGTATTTTTTTTCCTCTAGTGGTGGGGTGGGAAAGAAGGTGGGAGAAGAAGACAGGAAAAGAGGACAGGCAGACAGCAATGAGCACCTTCACATTTTCTCTGGGCAGAAATCACATGTGGCTCTCTCATAAATCATCTCATTAATACTGCCCATGAATTCTGAGCAGCATCTCGTGTCTGTTCCAGGGTGTTAATTGCTTGTGCAGCCTGACTGGGAGCAGTGGGCATTTCAAATGAAATAAATCCTGCTAATTATTGCTCTCAGCTTCGTGCAGGAGATGCCTGAGAGCTCCCTGCTCTCCTCAGGGGAAGTTTTATTGCTTTCTCCAGGGTGGGACCAACCTGAGTAAGGATCAGATCCTGCTGTTCTTCCACCCACTGGGCTGCAATGCTGTGAGGAGGGAGAGGGGTGGTAAAGCCAGGATTAACCATAAAGCTCAGCTTTGATGTTGGGCATGACCTGCAGCTCTGCTCTGGAGCAGGATCAACACTAGGGGTGTCCCCTGTGGGATTTGGGGAGGAGGGGGAGAAGCCAGCCGTGGACATGGGAGGGATGGGAAAGGAACTCTCAAAGGAAAGCTCCAGGATGAGCAGAGGGATGGGGCAGCTCTGCTGGGAGAGCTGGGATTGTTCACCTGGACAGGAGAATCTTTGGGGTGACACAGTTGTGACCTTCCTGAGGGAGCTGCTGGAAAGGTGGAGAGAGACTTTACAAGAGCCTGCAGTGACAGGATACTGGGAATGGCTTCCCACTGCCAGAAGGGAGATTTAGATGGGATATTGGGAAGGAATTGTTCCCTGTGAGGGTGGGCAGGCCCTGGCACAGGGTGCCCAGAGCAGCTGTGGCTGCCCCTGGATCCCTGGCAGTGCCCAAGGCCAGGCTGGACAGGGCTGGGAGCACCTGGGACAGGGGAAGGTGTCCCTGCCATGGCAGGGGGTGTAGTGGGATGAGCTTTAAGGTCTCTTCCAACCCAAACCACCCCGTGACTCCCTGGCAGCAGCTGTGGAGCCTGCCTGGTGTCAGTTGCTGTCCCAGCACATCCCAAAGCCAGCAGCAGCTGAGGCTCCGTGGCAGGAAGCAGCAGGATTCTGGCATTTCCTGCGGCTGGGAGAAGCAGGAGGTCCCAGTTATTGTCTGGATGTGAGCACTGCTCGGTGTTCCACGTGCTCCTCCCAGGCAGGAAATCAGTATTATGGTCTGTTCCTGAACTTTCTGCCCTGAACAGAGCATCTCCACCTGCTCCAGGGCACGAGGAGCTGAGGGAGATCACCTCACCTGTTCCTCCTTTCTGCTGCCAGCTCCCTGGGTTACTGTTTTTAATAAAAAGATAATTAATAATAAGATAATTCTCCTCTTTGCCCACCAGAGTCTCCTCTCAGTTATTTTTGGAGGTGGTTGGACCTCAGCCCTGCAGGGTTTGCAGCCCCTGCCCTGGCAGGTCCCAAACCCCCCAATCCTCTGGACATTTCTAAGCCCTCCCTGCATTTCCTGAAATGAGCCTTTTCAGCCCCAAATCCTGCTGATGCTGCCTGGTTCAAAGGGGCTGTGCCCCAGCACTGCACAATCCAGATGTTGTGAATCACTGCAACATCTGCACCTCATCTCCACGGGCGGAGCAGCAGCCAGGGAGGAGCTCTGCGAGCCCAGAACACGTTTGGGATGAGCCCCAGGCAATCAGCTGGAACTGATCGCTCCTGAGTCAGTCGGGAAAGCCTTTTGGAGAGGGGGATGAGAGCCTGGATTTGGGGTCTTTGAAATAACTCCTGCCGGGCAGGGCTGCCTTGTGAGGTGGGATGTGCCTCCTCTCCAAAATTAACAGCTGAGCTGCAGGGAATCTGAAGTGTTGGCTGTTTGGATAAAAAACAACAAAAATAAAAATTAAAAAAAAAATAGAAGAAGAAGAAGAAGAAGAAGAAGAAGAAGAGGAAACCCAAAACAACAACAACAACAACAACAACAAAAACCCCAAAACAAAACAAACAAAAAAAACACCCCCAAAACACCCCCAAAACCCCAAACAAAAAACAAACAAACAAACAAAAAAAAGGGATCCTGGAGAGGCTCCCAGCAGGAGCAGCTCCCGGGAATCTTTCACCCAGGAACCACCCAGCCTCACCTGCCTGACCCCACGGGCTCAGCTCCCAGCCAGCAGCAATTTGTAAAGTGAACAAACAGCAATTTACAACGCGAATAAATAAACAAACAGCAATTCGCAAAGTGAATAAATCCCCGGCAGTTCCCGGGGTTTGCCCCGGGGCTGTTTGAGGAGCAGGGGATGCTGCAGCTGCACATCCCCAGGGCTGAGGTTGGTGTCACCTCCTCCCTGAAGGTGTCACCTCCTCCCTGTCCCTGCTCCTCCCAGGGCTGAGGTTGGTGTCCCCTCCACCCTGAAGGTGTCACCTCCTCCCTGAAGGTGTCCCCTCCTCCTCCCTGAAGGTGTCCCCCCATCCCTGAAAGTGTCCCCCCCATCCCTGAAAGTGTCACATCCACCCTGAAGATGTCACCTCCTCCCTTCCCCTGCTCCTCCCAGGGCTGAGGTTGGTGTCACCTCCTCCCTGAAAGTGTCCCTCCCATCCCTGAAAGTGTCACATCCACCCTGAAGATGTCACCTCCTCCCTTCCCCTGCTCCTCCCAGGGCTGAGGTTGGTGTCCCCCCCTCCCTGAAGGTGTCCCCCCCTCCCTGAAAGTGTCCCCTCCTCCCCG